TTACAATAGATATCCCCAGTATCGAGGCACTGCTCACACACAGCCAGCTGTGAGGTGCAGCCACATTGTCCCCATCACAAAAAAACAGAAATTTATGGAAAAGATCAGCAGGTCTGGCAGCAACGGTGGAAAGAAATCAGCATTAACGTTTTGGGTCAAATGATCCTTCCTGAAGAGTCACTCAACCCAAAGTGTTAACTCTGACTTCTCTCCACAGATGCTGCCAGTACTGCTGAGCTTTTCCAGCAATTTCTTTTTCTGTTTCTGATTTATAGCGTCCACAGTTCTTTCGGTTTTCACATTAACCCCATGCCCCACACAAGACTCTGAACAAGTGCTCTACTCCAAGCTCCACAATGTTCAGTGATCACTTGGAGAGTAGAGGAAATGTTACACGGACATACTGAAAGCTTCCCAAAACAAATGTAACATCTCTACCAATGCATGGGAATCACTTGCCCTAGAACAGACAAACCATGAAGATGCTTTGAGCGTCACCAAGTAGAGCACATGGGGGCCAACAGCAAGCAGCGAAAAGAGTGCACAGAACCTGGAGTGTCCCAGCCTCCCACCCACCTCCTCAAATTCCACTTGTCCCACCCTTGGCAGAGTCTGCTGCTCCAGGATTTAACTGTGCAGCCACCACAAAGAACACAGTCCAGGAGGGAAAGAAAGCCATCCACAACACTGCAGGACTGTCAAAAACTAACAGCAGCCGAAAACAACGATTATCCCACACACTACCCTCCAAACCCCTCATCGCCTAGAACCAGACTTTCAATTGTCTGTGGAAGTTACATATTGAAATCACTGCAAAGACTGAAGAAAGTGAGAACACAACCCAAAAGATAACAGTATTTCCTTTTAAGGCTAGTACGGGACACCAGGCATTAATAGATTTTAATACATTCTCGACTACAACTACAAAATTGTTATTACCTCATTGTAACAAGGTGACATTTTTCTCAGAGGGTCATGAGTCCTTGGAACTCTTTGGAAAGGTGGTGGAGGCAGAGTCTTTGAATATTCTTGGTCAGTGTTGTGCAGATTCTTGGTCAGCAAAGGGAATGAAAGAATATTGGGGTGCAGATGGGAATGTGGAGTAATGATCTTTATAACGATGGAGCAGGCACAGGGGCTGAATGGTCTCCTCCTGCTCATCATTTGTGTATTTGCCAGTGTCATACAGCACGGAAACAGATCCTTCAGTCCAAACAGTCCATGCTGACCAAATTCCCAAACTAAACTAGTCCCACCTGCCTGCGTTTGGCCCATATCCCTCTGAGCATTTCTATTCATGAACTTATCCAAATGTTTTTTAAACATTGTAACTGTACTCGCATCCAACACTTTCTCTGGCAGTTCATTCCATACATGAACTACGCTGTGTAAAAGAGGTGCCCCTCATGTCCTTTTTAAATCTTTCCCCTCTCACCTTAAACACATGCCCTCTTGCTTTGAACTCCCCCATCCTAGAGAAAAGTCCCTTCTCATTCACCTTATCTATGCCCCTCACAACTTTATAAACCTCTATAAGGTCACCCCTCCACTTCCTATGCTCCAGGGGAAAAAGTCCCAGCCTTTCCTTATAATTCAAACCCTCCACATCCAACAACAGTGATGTTTTTGACACAAGTCTGGTGACTTTCCACTTAAAATTAGAAGTAAACCACTGGCTATTCTGGAGAATAGTTCATTTTCTATTTTCATTGAAAGAGGTAGATTACTGTTCCTGTGACCTTTAATTCTGTTCTCATCACTGCTCTCTCTCTCAGCAAAGGGGATGTTTCTGACAGTTCTTGAGTTTCCTCTTGCGCTGCTTCTGAATGCTTAGTGGTTCTATTCAATGCATCAAAGTTATGATGTCGCCATGAAGCAAAGAATAGTTGCTGTTTAACCAACCAACCCATCAATCCTTTAGAGAAAACGGATAATGCAGAGGGATGAGAAGAGAAAGGGCAACTTTTAAAAACAAGGTTTAATCTCGTAATTGAGTAACAGGACTGCTAGATCCTTTATAAGAAACCTGGAAAGAACTGGGTGCTGGGAAGATGGAAGTGTGGCTCATCCCATTAATGTGGGAACTTAGAAAATAACAGTTATCCAAGAGAAAACTCTGAGGATAAAAGCAAAATACTGTGGAATTGGAGATCGGCAGCACAGAGAATCCTGGAGAAATACAGCAGGTCTGGCAGTATCAGTGGAGAAAGAAACAGTGTTAATTTTGCCAGTCCGACATGACTTCTTCAGAACTGAAGGGTATTAAACATGCAGCATTAACGTTACAATGTTGTAGAGACTTGGAATGTTGCACATTCTGTATGCACCATAGTGATTATTATAGTGATTGGTATGTCAGCCAGGTGGATCTCCTAGAATATGAGTTCCCTGACAGATACAAACAGGAGTGTCAGGGGTTCTGCTCACTTTAGGAGCCAACTCTGTGCTGGCTGGATCAGTGTCATGTGCTAAATAAAGAGTGACATGGTGACGGGATACCAGGCTTTGTGGAGTTATTCAGTTACTTTATTAGGATCTTGGGATCATAGTGGTTGTCTTATTGACCCAAATTAGGGAACCAGGGAACGAGAAAAAAAGAAATCCTATTCCAATTAAGCAACCCTGCTGTAAGTACTTACATTTCTGCCAGGGCTTGCTGTCAATCATTGCCAATTGGGAAAGTACCAGAGTGAGACCATCGGCCCTGCAAAGAAATCAACACCTTCAAGGAATTGGAAAAGAAGTAAACTTTAAAAAGAAACACTAGCAGGACACACTTTTATAACACCATTATTGTAGAATAAAAGGCTTCTTGATGGGCTGGGGTGGATGTTGGGAGAAAGAAACAAAGTAAAATGACTGTCAAGGGAGTTGGGAAATGTGGCTAAAAGCTTGGTTGCAGAACAGTGCGATAGGTGTGAGATCATAAATCATAGAATCCCTACAGTGTGGAAACAGGCCCTTCAGCCCAACAAATCCATACCGATCCTCAGCCAACAGAAATAAAATTGTTGTGGATTGAAATAATATTAGTTCATGCGTGTAGTATCACCGTTAAGGCCAGGAACTGAACAGATGAAAGGTCCTTTTACACTAGACTTCAAAAGCAACAACAGGGCTAGCAAAGCGTGGTCTCTACATCTGGGCCAGGAAGTCTCAGGTTTAAGTCCCACCTGCTTCAGAGATAATACATCTGAACAGATTGACTTAAAACGAAAGTCATATTTTGTTGTGCGAATTAAAAAAAACCCTTCTGACCTGGACTAGTTTCCAAGGATTTGCCCAACCATGGAAATACTAGTAGCAAAAATTATTTGCATTGAAATTGCAAGTCCCAAAGCTGTTTTGACATTAGCCTGAGGAACCGCAAGAAAGGTTGATGACCATAAACCTGCTTGCAAAAGTAACAATTTCTATTTATTCATCTCAACATCCAAAGCATTTCTAGTAAGCATTGTCACCGTGACTGAGATTATCTTTATAATTCCAGATTTATTAATTGAACTTCAATTCCACCAGCTGTCATTGTGAGATCTGAACACATGCCCCCTGTGCATTCGCTCTGATCTCAGTTTTACACCACCAATATAGGCATATCATTCATGGAAAGTAATAAAATTGAATCATAAGAAAGAATTTTAGAATATCCTTTATTGTCACATGTACTCAAGCATGGAAGTACAGCAGTACAGTGAAAAGTTTACAATATCACCCCACATGGCACCATCTTAGGTACAAAGTACCTAGGTACAGATCTTGGGTACAAAATACAGAAAAAAAGGGAAAAAGAAAGGAAAAAAAATACAGTACTTACATAGAGATAGCAAGATCTGCAGATGCTGGATTTTTCTGAAGGAGGGTCCCGACCCGAAACATCAACTTTCCTGCTCCTCTGATGCTGCCTGGCCTGCTACGTTCTTCCATCTCCACACTGTGTTATCTCTTATTACAGTACTTATAGTTATTCACAGTATAACTTAGAAAAATGAGAATAATGTTAAAAAGATAAGCATTGCAGCCTTTCAGTAGATCAGCAGAGGGGGCTTCCACGTGGTCTACCCAGGCTTGCAATCTGCTGACCACCCGCACCAATCCAACAACCATCCTGCTCTGCTCAGGCCTCCAGCCCACTGGCCATCCCTGCTCCGCTCAGGCTCCCAGCCACTGTACCTCAGGAAAGAACACCAAGAAGGGAAAAAGGGGAAAAAAAAAGAAAACAGGAAATAAACAGAAGGAGCAGAGGAGCTCCCATTGGAGCATCCTACTCTGCTGCCATCTTGACCGGAATATGGTCAAACGTTTGCACCTAGTTATATCAGGGGTTGGGGCGGGGGAGATAAAGATCCAATAAAGCTGTCAAATTCGAAGTCTGACGTTGATCTTGCTTATGTATTCCTCACCTTGTTCAATCATCCTATAATCTTTGTATGTATGTTCTGTCTGCACTGCATGCAAAAGAAAACTTTTCACTGCACTTCGTTACGTGACAATAATAATCAAATCTCTGTACTTGCCAAATAAAAAAACCGAAAGAACTGCGGATGTTGTAAATCAGGAACAAAAACAAAGTTGCTGGAAAAGCTCAGCAGGTCTGGCAGCATCTGTGAAGGAAAAAACAGAGTTAATGTTTCGGGTCCGGTGCTGAGGAAGGGTCACCGAACCCGAAACGTTAACTCTGGACTTGCCTGCTGTTTTTAAACAGGTCTACGCCTCTGCACTATTTTAAGCTGTGTTCCCCAGTTCTCGTATTGTGTATTTAGTTGAAGGCAGCTGAAAGTGCCAATGAATGCTTAATTTAGAAGTCGATGTTTCAGATAATAGGTAGGGGAATTAGCAATTTTCTGTTTCTTGCAAAGCAATAATTTGAGCCCCAGCAAAGATTGGGGGAAGACAGTTATCAAAAGCTTTTGCAGTGGAATTGCTTCAAGAAACAAATAAATCGTTGCTTAGAAAGTGTTCTAACATTCTACAAGGCTTTTCTGCCCCCATACTGAATGAACGACGTAAAACTCGATCATGAAACGCTCCAATAAACAGCCTAAGGAAGTTTTACGAGATCACGTGACGGTGAGGTCACATGACTCACGCCTGACTGTAACAAAGTGCAGGTAGGATGCGTTTGCCGGTTGGAAACAGCTATTTATATTGGCAACATGGTTCAGGCAGCAGCAACAGGTGAGGATTAAAGGATATTTTTGTCTATAGGTGCATTTGTGATAAATGCAGGGTTTTACAGATTAGTCTGTAGACAAATACCCGTATTGTTCAGTCGGGATGAACGAAAATAATAAAACTGTTTCAATCGGATGCATTTTGTGCCTTACCTGCAAATACTTCTTTAGTCTGTCTGAGGATGGACCGTGAGGCATCATCGGGGAAGGTCAAGTCCTATTGGATTTGTAAACGATTGGGTGCAATAGCAATGTGATTGATGAGTTTCATACTGTTGGTGTAACCTCACTGTTGTCCCAGGATATATCCCTAGAAAGCTCCAACGCACCATCAATATCGCTGGACTTAATTAACAAACAATTCCCGAATACTACTCCTGGAGACATGGAGCACTGTTTCAGTCCCTTACCAGACCTGTCCACTTTTTTCAAAAAGTAAACTTTGATAACGTGTAAAAATATATTGCATGACAAAACAAGTTTTATATGATATAATGCAGCTCAATTTCTTTCAATATTTTTGTTAAACATATATTTCTAATTACCCTATTCAGAGATGGTATTACACACCTCTGGAGCAAATAGGACTTAAATTTGAGTCTCCTGTTCAGTGGTAGGGACATTACCAAAGTGCCACAAGACCTCATTTGGTAGTACTCTGAAATGCCTCTCTAAACTGGTGTATAGTATGCATTTCTTATTCCCATAGTCACGAACAAAAAGGCTTCGTCTGGGTTCCAGCCCCTTTGGGTTATTATGGCAGAAGAGTTTCAGACTGTGGTCTAAGGTTTTACTGCATCCCCCAGGACCTAGTCCTAGTCCTCCAAGTGTCTGCAACACCCAATAGTTGACAACACTTTGCTGTTTGCTGAACTACTATTCAACACCCTCTTGTCAGCTGTTAGTTATTTTAATCAACCTGTTCAGATATGTTGTATCAAACCTCTGGGACAGATGGGACCTTAACCTCAACCCCCTGGCTTAGAAGTAGGGACACCACCATTGTACCAAAAGCCCCATTAAATCCAGGATTGAACTTTAAATCTTCAATTAATACTCTCCCAACTGAGTATTTTGGATTTTCTTTTTTCAGCCAGAGCTCCAATGAACTACAGACATCTCACTCCATTAGAGAGAGACAACTTGGCTTAAATAAGATTGCTACGTTGTCTGTAAAGAGTTATGTTTGTGGACTGCAGTTGTGAAGTCTTGCTTCAATTGTATTGAAGCTTGGTTAGACTTCCTCTGGAGTACTATGTGCAGTTCTGCTCTATGTATCTCCAAGATTATCATTATGATTGCCAGAGAGGGAGTGCGACAAAGGTTCAGCAGACTTGTTCCTGGGATGGCAAAAACATCTGCAAAGAAAAATTGGGCAATCTGACCTTTATATTCTCGAGAGTTTCAAAGAATGAGAGGTGATTTCATTGAAATCTACAAAATACTTCGAGGGCACGGGCAGGTTTGGGGATTCTCCTGGTTGGGAAGTCTAGAACCAGGAGGCACAACCTCTTTATAACAAAAAAAAGGAAAGGGGATGCCTCTTAGCTCTGAGATGAGTTTTTTTTTACTAGGAGGGTGTGAACCCTTGGAATCCTTTACTCTTAGATGGTTGTAGAATTTCAGTCTTTGAGTCTGTTCAAGGTAGAGATTAATAGATTCCTCGTTACCAATGACGTACAAGGGTTATGAGGATGGAGTGGGTAAAAGGCATTGAAATTGTTCAATAACCATGATTGTATTGAATGCAGGGCAAGGAAAATGGGCTGAATGGCTGCTGCCTGTTCCTATGTTGCTAGGTGTTATTTATGTGGATGGTCTTCCTTAGAGGAGACCACATTTTACTTAACGATAGTCAAGTGCTGAGTAACAGTGCTTCAGAGACCAGCTAATGGTGGCTCCGTGGTTAGCACTGCTGCTTCTCAGCGCCAGGGACCCGGGTTCGATTTCAGTTTCAGGCAACTGTCTGTGTGGAGTTTGCACGTTCTCCCTGCATCTGTGAGTTTTCTCTGGCAATTTCCTCACAGTTCAAAGATGTGTAGGTTAGGTGGATTGGCCATGCTAAATTGCCCATAGTATCCAAGGATGTATAGGCTAGGTGAATTAGGGAAACAGGAATGGGATGGGTCTGGGACGGATGCTCTTTGGAAGGGTGCTGTGGATTTGAAAGGCCAGATGGCCTGCTTCCAAAGTGTAGGGATTCTATGATTCTTCTATGTGGAGAGCTGAAGGATAGTGCATTCTAAAGTGCCAGCATTTTGAGTTTCTGAGAAGTTCTTACCTTTCATTATAAGTACAGTTGTCCTGCCTATCTTTCTCCACTCAGCTCTGGGCATTGTCTTTGGGGAGCTTGGCTTCAATAAAATGCAACTATACATTTGTCTTTTAAAGTTGTTTTTGGTGGATGGAGGGGATAAATGATCAAAAATAACAGTAACCCACAACTAATCAGCAAAAATAGTGCCTTTTGATGTAATACATCTATTAAGCAGCTTCCCTCTTGGAGAGTTTGTTCTCACTTGGGAGCTGCTTGGTCACAAAGATTGAGACATTTTGACCAGCCTCCTCTGTCACCCCCACACACCCCCTTGTCCAACAGGATCCCAATGCTTAAATTTTGTGTTGATCAGGTCATGCAGTCATGCAACACAAGAGGAATCCCACCTTCCAGCACTTGGCCTGTAGCTTTGAATGTTATGATATCTCAAGTGTTCATCCATGGGTTATCAGATTTATCATGATAGAGATATAAAAATACGGAAATCAACTTGACTCAGCTGGGAACAGTCATCTGAGGCTCAAGGTCCTGGATTCAAATCTCACTCCTCGGCTTTAGTACAAAAATCAGATGAGGCCATTGTATTGTGACTCCAACTTCCTGCTTGGGTTTTTTTTTTTGATGCTGAACATTATATGTGTGAACAGCCATGTTACTTGTTTTGCTCCTATTTTACTGAATGTGAATGATTCATTGTTTCTCCCTCAGTTTATTTTAGATTATTTTTCCTTCTATCTAGCCTATTACAGGTTTACCTTGCTAATTTTCAACTGCCTGCTGACTTTTGGCTCCTACTTCTGCTTTGACATGCCCAGTGTGCTTCAGCAGCAGTTCCAGGGGGTAAGTACCAAATTGTGCTAGTGAGAAACAAAAATGGACTGTAAAAGCTTCTTTTAGGTGTGTAAAAGTAAGGATTAGCAATGACAAGTTGGAGACTGGAGAATGAGAAAATGGCAGACAAACTAAACCATTTTGTGTCTGTCTTCATGGAGGAGCATACCCAGAAATACTGGATAACTAAGAGACTTGTGGAAACAAAGAACTAAAAGAAATGATCATGAATCAAAAGTTGTACTTGCAAAATTAATTGGATTGAAATGTTGTAAATCCCCTGGCCCAGAATGAACTCTGTCCCATATTATTGAGGAAGGTGGCTGCAGAAAGTTTTTCAAAATGTTATACAACATTTGCTGCTCAAAAGTAGTAAATATAACCCATTATTTGAGAAGTAGTAGGAACTGCTGATGCTGGAGTCTGAGATAACAAGGTGTAGAGCTGGATGAACATAGCAGGCCAGGTAGCATCAGAGGAGCAGGAAAGCTG